CTGGCAGTCTCCATAAAGGGTGTCACAGGTTCAGAGGGTATCTTCGCGATCAACTGCTTTCTCAAGAATTCGACTTCTTGACTCAAAATTTTTCGTTCCTTCATCAAGTTATTTCGTGTGGAAAGCAACTGACACATCTACTCACAAAAAAGGAAATCATTTATTCAATAACAAATATAATATCAATAGTAATGGTGATGATAATAATAATAATAATAATAATATCAGTAGTTACAATGATAAGAACAATAATAAACAATACGGACAACAAATCCATGAATACCAGCATCAGCATGTTGCCTTTCCAACCTTTTAAAATATCACAACTTATACCTTATCTCTAACATAGTTTAGTTACAATAATATATTTGTTCGTTTTTTTGAATTTGTTAGTTTTGTTTTTGTTTTTGTTTTTGTTGTTGTTGTTGTCGTTGTTGTTGCTGTCCTTAATAGCCAGAACCAACCTAACTCGATCATAGAATCAAATCAGGTATTGCTCATTTTCCCCAACAATGAAAAATTCTTTCTTTTAGTTTTTTTTTTCCTTTTTTGTTCGGGTTTTAATTTTGTTTTTGATTTGGTGTTGTTGATCTCCTTTTGCCAGTCACCCGTTGCTAAGAGACGTCCTATAAAAAGGTGATAACAGCATACAGATACATCTGTATACAGATATATCTAAACTTTTTTACCTGATCTACTTGCTTGCGAGTGTTCTCGTCGTTCTGTTTGAGACGAGACTGCAATTCATGTATACGTTTGTCTTTTTTCGTGTTTTGTTCCTCTAAAGTCCGCCTCCGTGCCACAGATTCGTCAAGTTTCTTCTTCAACTTACTGCATTCCTTGTTTGCATCTTGTACCTTGGCACTAAATTTAATCAAATCTCATTAAGGGGAACTCAAGGTGAATATTTAGAGAACATGCTCAAGCATAAATCTCTTTCTGACTGAGAGCGCAAGAAAGTAGTTTGAAGCAGTTTGCACCATGAACACAATACAACCAACCAAATTTCCTATCATTGATTTCAAAGATTTCACAGTATTCTGGAAGAGGCCAGATCAGACAGGAAAAAACAATCAGACAGAGGGAAAATAGGTGTGGAAATATCGACCGAATGTATTATGGGATGGAAATCTCTGTAGTGGAAATTTGCTTAGTTACTAAAATGGGATATCAGGTGGTCTAAGGTTATCAAACTGGATACGAGAGGTCTGGGCAAAACCTCTGGTCAAGTCACTGAGCTGTTTTGATTTCCTTCTTTTTATTTTTGTCTAAAACACTCTACTCAGATAACCTACCTTGATTTCTCAGCGGAATCTTCCAACTGCTGAGTGAGTCTCTTGCACTCTTCTTTCATTTTGTTGCACACATGAATCTCAGCCTCGAGCATCTGCTGCAATTCAGTTCTACACTGAGCTGCAGAAAGCAGAGCGAGTCATGTATAATGACATACATATCCGAAAACAAAAAGCTACTTTTAACGATGTCGTAATAATATAATCAACAGCGCAGAACGATAAGATCTAATGAAAATCAAACAGATGGTATCGGAAGCAGGATACCGATGCCGCCTTCAACTCCGTCGCTTATTATAAACTGTTGGGAGTCGTACTCAGAGGGCCTTTCATTGTGTTTGGTTTGTTCTTTCGCTTCTGTTTACGGCATCTCCGATAAAAGTTCCCTCTGGTGATAAAGTTTCTAAAGGATTATAAAGTTCCCATAGGTTTATAAGCGCCAGGTCAAAGGGGAAATCGGAAGAAAATGGCAACGTTCTGATTCTCCCAAATCTGAAACTTTCTGGTCAAAGACTCTGCTTTTGACTCAAACTACGACTCCTATGACTACAGCCTTAACCGTTATCGACAGCACAAGCTTCAACCATGAAACATTTTTGGTGTGTTTGCCAAATAAACATTCAAAAATAGCGCACATAACGCATGCGTCAAGCCCTACAAGGCTCGAAGGAATCGAATAGTCATAGAGAAGAGATGGTCGATAAAAATTCACTTACTGTGCCTTGTTTCTGTCTCTTGTAAGAGCGTGGTAAGTTGCTCATCTCTCTGTCCGCTTTGTTTTCGGAGTTGTTCGAAATCTTCCGCCCTAGTTTTCTCCAGCTTTTCTTTCGCAGCTATGGCACCTTTAGCCTGTAAATGAACAATCAAAATTCTTTGAACTAATCGACAAGAGGTTCATCGTACCCTGAGTAATGTGCGCCTTGCTCCCCGCGGTTCACGCGACGCCGGGATATTTCCAGCCCACTTTGCTAAATCACGCGACAGATTATGCCAGGCAAGGGAAGGATGAAGGGTAAACGAACGGAGAAAAAAAAGAAACGACTAAAAGAAAAAAAACGCTGGTATACACTTACTTCTCGCTCTGCATTATTGAGTCTTTCAGTAAATCTAATGCAGTCCTCTTTACATTGCATCCACGAGTGTTCAGCTTCTTGGAGACGCCGTCTAAGTTCATCCATTTCACTCGTCAGCCGTGTTCTCTCCTGAACAGAAGAGCACGAGCAAAGTGGTCAGAGATCTGTAATTGTCTATGAATACATCAAACACGTTTTCTTGCTCTCTTTTATCTTTTACCTGCTCTCTTTTATCTTTTACCTGCTCTCTTTTATCTTTTACCTGCTCTCTTTCCCTCTGCGCTTGCTGAGTAGTTGCTTTGACTGAGTGCAATTCTTGTGAAGCAGTTGACAATCTCATTTGTGTCTGTTCAAGTTCTTTCTCCACAGTCTCATTAGCCTGGTGAAAACCAAAAACCTTAGATTGACCATACGAGTGAACTATTCCAAATACTCTTTGCATTTTTCACGTGTCTCGCAAGCCTACTTGACGCGCCAGTGAAACGTGACACACATTGAATTTCATAATCCCACTAACTCAAAGAGTCTTTCCTCCGATCAAAGAAAACTTTAATCCAACAAGTGTGTGGTGAAAGCGAACCCAAACTTATGGTATGAGATGGATCACCACCCATCTTGTCTCGTCCTAATCTCTTCGCGCTTAGAGCTCTCATTTCATGTCATAAGGCATGGGCCAACCTTGACTTACCTTAGAAATTTCAGATGCATTCGCCAGGATTTGGCTATTTGCTTGTTCCAGCTCTGCCATAAGGTCGACCTAACGCATTGCAAAAATAAAGAAACTGAAAAATGAACGCAGAATGAGGGACAAGGATAAACGTAGCAATTAATCATCTCCGGGAAATAAGTATATTATCCCCAGAAGATAAGTCGATAAACACGAACCTTTTCGCGTGTTAGCCGTTCTAGTTGGTTCTCCAGCGCTGACTGAGCCTCTCTTAAAGATTCTATCTGTAAGAGTAAAGACACAAAAAAACTTGAACTTAAAAAAAAATTGCAACAATGCACTGTAATAAAACTGAAAAGAGACAAAACATTAACCAAATTAATAATTAAATAAACAACAACAACAACAACAACACTACCCATCTTGGCAATCGCTAGGAACAGACAAATGTCGTTGGTTGGCATCCTCAATTTTATCAGGAAATCAAGTGAAAAAACATGCATATTAGCCGCGAATTACCCAAGCATATAAATAACAGTTTTAAGTTCCTTTCCACTGTCTTTTCATTTGTCAGTCATATTTTTTAAATTACAGAATTTCGAAATTTGTTTAGGAGTCTGATTGGTCTTTGATTAATTGTTGGAAGTGAGAGAAACATTTGAATTTATTACTCGCGACAAGATAGTCCAGAGACTAATTCTGAAAAGGAGTGATAGTAACTGTGATAGAGGTGACTTGAGAAAAACTACAAGTCAAACGCCTTTGACTAAAGTTTGATAAATGTTTGCTGAGGTATTTGAGACGTCTGAATTCGCTTGCAACCTTCACCTGAACGGTCTTATACCATAAGATAACTACAAAAACGAGTTCATATTATCTGCAGAACTACTGTAAGTACAGTGTCGGTCAGTGAAATAATCATCAATGTGAATTATCTCCTATTTGGATGAATGTATGGGAGCAGTAATTGAATTGATTGACCCAAATTCTTGCATAGTGAATTTTGCCGTTGTTGCTGTTCTTTTTCTTTCCCTTTTTTTCTGTTTTTTTGTTTTGTTTTTTGTTTTGTTTTTTGTTTTTGTTTTTTTACTGTTTAGTAGCTTGTTTGTATTTTTCATATATCTATTTTTTAAGGGGAAGGGAGAAAGGGTTCATTTAAATTTAAAAAATGCACAGTCTGATCAATTTAATCAAAAACTGCTTTCTTTTGCATAAGTAACTACAGACTACTGTGGTGTTATTTGAGTGACATTACATATTCAAGCTTAAGCTTTGAACGGAAATTAAGATAATGAAAAATTGTTCAAAGACATGAGAATTGACAGAACTCTATTACACAATCAGGGAAGCATTTATACCAACCGATTTCATAATTTTATTTTGCAATGCTTTATGAAAAATATAATTAAACACCACTAAACACTACTATTTAATGACAGAAAATCATCTTGATATACAGTCTGTCCTTTACATCCAAATCGTATTTTGACAATTACACTAGTCTGCTCAGTTCTGTTTTTTATATCCATCATAAGAAGTAACATTTAAAGCGACAAAATAAAATTTTTTTAAGATAAAAAAGTAACTTGCTATTTAGAACACCATTGACATCTAAATTTTATGTTAACAAGTATTCGAGTCTGATCAGTTTTGCTTTCTCTTTCCTTCTTTTCGCCGCTTCTCAACCACAACAGTTACTACTGCAACAGTTACACACACTGCACCAACGACTCCTAGGACAACCCAACCGCTTGGGGTAGTCAATGAGGCAGTACATAAAGCAGTCGATATCGAAAGTGTATGGGCAGCCGCCATCTTCCCTGGAAAGAAAAATAAATTTTGAGAACAGTCTCCCTACATAAGCCCGATAAAATGATTCTTGCGATCGTTTAAGGGAACTAAAGGGAAGCAAATGCATTATAAGATAACTTTTTGACGATTTTATGATTTAAGGTTAGAATGAAGAGATACTTTGTCGAAAGCTGTGAAGTTTTTTCTTTTTTTTGTTTGGTACGCTCTGGTTACATGATCGGCAGCTGGTCAAGGCTCTCAAATGACTGAATGAGTAGCAGTCGGATATTTTTCCGAAAATGCAACATATTGAGAGACTGTATAATTCAAACTATTACATGTCGATGAGGAACCGCCAAACGATCCCGAAGCGATTTATGAATGCCATATCTAACACTCGGTCATGTTTAACTCTGGGCCCAGAGTAAGGAGGCGTCAAAATTGCATGAGGTCGACTGCCGGTCACGGTTCTCAAATGACTAGATGACCGATAGTTAGACATTTTTCGTAAAGTTTAAGAAATCGAGACAACCTATGCAATCCAAATTATTATATGTCGATGAGTAACTACTAAGCGATCTCGAGGAGATTGATAAATCTCATATCTAGCGCTCGGTTTACGCTGACTCAGATTACTTAGAAATCGCGTGAGATCAACTGCCCGTCACGGTTCTCAAATCACTAGATAACCGACTGTCGGAATTTTTTCTCAAAATTAAAGAGACCAAGACAACCTGAGCAATTCAAACTGTCACATTTCGGTGAGGAACTGTTGAGAAATCCCGCACGGGTTTATCATTTTCATGTCCAACTTCTGGTCAACGCTGAGTTTTTCCCAGATATTAAAGTAATTCAGTTTGGCCTGTCACAACAATGCCTAACATTATAAGGCATGGCTAAAAACGAAATACTATTTCTTTTTTAATTAACTTCTTGTTGACCAGAAAAACAATGAAGGACAGGCGCCATCCGATTCAATCTCTTAATTCGTCTTTCTGCGAACTTTTGAAATCCTCCTCTTCAAAATGTTCAGAGCACACTTTGGTACCAGATCTCACTCTTATATTATACTTTGATCTCATTTCATCCTGAAAGTCAATATCTCTTTTAAAAGAAACTGAAAAACAACAATTTTTAAATCGGGAAGAGATTAACTTATATTCGGACCATTTACTCACGCATATTAAAACACAAATTTGTGCCACAAGCGGTTGAAAAAATATGGCATGGATACTTATCATCTGAAGCTTAGCATCCACAGGGTATTTATGAAAAGACAAATCCGAATTTATGGAAGTACTGTGGCAGTTACAAACGCAACGATAGTGGACAACCCTCTACGTTTTGCAGTTAACTTTCAAGGCCGCCACTGTTATTTACCCATTTCGGACCACGTGACCAACCTATGACTATGAAGCTAAAGAAAACAACTTTATTGCGTGAACTAGATCATGTGACTTTGATGGAAATAAACATGTTTCACCTTACACTCGCCAAACGAAATTAAAATAAGGAATGGTTATAAACAGACAAATTGTAACAGTGCATCGGCTGAACCTTAACTGAAAACAATATGTCAACAAAAATTACATTCAACCAGTCAACAAAAGAATGGCGATAAAGAAACGGTAAAATTTCTTGACCCGTCAAGAGGTTACTACGCAATTCAATCAATTCAGCCATCCTCTATTATTCCCAATTGATTCTTCAGCAATTATGGTTCCAATTTTATTGCCGGGTTAAATGAACATGTTTTATTAAATGTATGCACATACACTGTACTTACCGCCAACGATAATGATATTTTGAAACCGCCTCTATACTTGTGGCTTCGCTTCCGGTGTTCAGGTCGCTTCGCCTGGAATACATAAAAATTAAACCTCTCAGAAAACGCAAACAGGTATCTAAAGAACACTCGAGCTAACTAAAGGAAAAAAAACACAAAGATAGACTCTTATCTCATTTATCACTTTACATTTTGGCCATTATGAGGAACACATCGCCTACCTTTCTGCTCGCTGCCGGCTTTCACTTTGTCAACACCAGAAGGGGAGACTGGGAAAGAAAATCCTGGCTATTTAGACCCAGTTTCCCGATACTGGCCATTAAGCTCAATAAGGCCAGAGTAGAAATTCAAACGAATTTCTCTTTAGTAGAGATAATATTTATTTGTGAGGAAGTCTGGTTTTTGAAATGTGATCTCTGTCCTCCATGGATTGCCGTTGAAATTCCCATTTCAAAAAAGCCGTTCAAAGTTACGTTTTAGACAACCTGAGGTGTTTTTACACCGCAGGAAGAGTAATTAACATTTATACCTTTAAGTTTGCACCATAAAAGTATTTAAAAGGAACTTACCCTCAGCTATCACGCGGCGTTCATGAAAATATTCACCATAAAAAAGGAACAGTGTGAGCCTGTTTGTTTTTTTCTCCGATCGGAAAAACACATGTTTACTTGCCAAGGTTGTATGATGACCATCACGTATGTTCCACGCAATAAGACACACTTCTCCATTTTCTTTCGCCTTTGCTAATCTTAACAGTATCCGGTCACATGTGAACTTTGTGATGCCATAAATCGCCGTAGCGTCTCTGTGGTTCAGTGGGGTCAGCATCGAAGCGCAGAATCTAAAGGTCTGAGGTCTGGTTCCTTCTGGGGATTCAGAAGTTTCGTTGTCCCAGGCCCGTGACGATACGAAAATACGTCTTTCTTTATTTCATTTCACCATCTTTCTTATGTCATTGACAATTACGACCGTTCGAATTTACGGCTTCGGACTTTTAAAGGGACAATCCTGACTAAATGAAGTTTGTAAAGGCGTCTGGGCTTTCGATTACCGTCAAACTGACAAACTTCCACTTTTTTAACACATGAGGTTTCAATCCTCCCTGAGTCGTTGCAACCTCGCTATGTCTGGTACAATTATTTCTTACTGATTGCGTTTGCAGCATATGTCTTGTGATTTTTTAAATCAACGTGTTATTCCATTAGCTTTTCTACTGTTACAGTAGTACTGTAGTTCGAAGATGTTCAGATGCTCTTCACCCCAAATTAAACGATTAATTCACTCTGAAGCCATGAAATGTTTTTCATGCTTGGTTAGAAACAAAAACAGACACACACAAATTTACTTAACATATAAATTTACGAAAAAATTCCAAAAGCACCTGTTTAACAAGACCACTGACTTCCTCCCGACATGCTTCTTGCACCTTTTTCCTCTCCATGTCCATTTTTTCGCTGAACATTCTCATACTGTTTTCGTGTCGCTCTCGTTCTTTCCGCAAATCTTCTCGGAGCTGGCGAACATGAATGATGGCCTAGCCGAAAGTTCACACCCAGAATTAAACACAATTGAAGCCTTTCAATATCGTCTTTCTTAAGTTTGGTCCCAATTATTCGCGGGTGACCAGCTACCTAACAACAGGACCGCGTTGAGGTCGAAATTTTATACGATAAAAAGCCATGGCGACTTCCACTCGCTGTCTTAATATTGGAAATATGCAACAGCTGCAAAATGTATGCAGCAAAATCATGTATGATGCACCCCAATATAAAGTATTGTAAACGTACACTCATTTAAGTTATATGTTGACATCACAATACCTCTGCCTTTTCTAGCTGAGCCTGTTCCACCATATTACAGCTCTTTTTCACTTGGTTGTAAGCTTCAAACTCCCGCTGGCGAACCTCAGCTAAGACGGCTTTCTGCCCTGTCAGCATGTTCATCAAATCATCCCTCTCTCTGAAAACATGGCAAGATGTACAAGAGATTAAACAAAAATATAAACAGACATGTAAAAAAAAAACATCAGAAAAAAAAAACAATAACAATAACAGAGCGAAACCAAGCAAACTTACAAGTTCTTATTTTAAATGTTGGTTACATTGGGTTTACTATAATGAAGCAGATGGGAGACAACGAAGCTTATCCACTCAATGCACTAAGTACATGCGAGGAACCTTTGATTTCGGCGGGGGAGGGGGGGGGCAGTTACCAAGGTCTGTTTTGAACACGGCTAGTCGTGTTTCGTACTAGATTCACTTTAAATATTGACTCTAAGAAACCTTCCCTGGCCTCAGGGTATTTCTTGATACACCCGTTCAGATTACTTTGTCAGTTGATTGATTGTGTCTATGGCTGCTTCACTGTGTGTATTGGACAAAACGGCAGAATGATGCCCACATTTGACGCACAAGGCTGGTTGACCTCTCTGATAAAATAACCAAAAGATGTACACTTTATCATTACTCGCAAGCATGTCCAGAAATAAAATTAAAGGGTTAAGTAACACTTTGCTCATCCAGAGAAAGTCATCCTAAATACATCTTTTAAAAGCCATCTTTAATCATCCTTGTTCGTACACCTTCGATTTCACACTCGCAAAACATTAGTTATTAACTAAGATTTCTTTCTAGTGTATCCAAGAGTACTTTTTCCCTTTGCAACATCAAATAAGAACTATCTTGACGAAAATTGTCCATAGCAAATTTTTAAGGCAATAAAAGCCCCACAATACCATAAAACAGAACCAAAAGACAAACCACGCCGAAAACAACAAAAAAACTCCCAAATTTGACAAATCAATAATCACTAACTCATAAACAACGACATAACCGTGCAACTGTCTGACCTGATCCTCTAATACTTTTTGAGCTCTGCAAGACAGGTAAAATTAATATATGGAAATTAATAATTTCGAAAAAAATGACAGGAACATCAAGTAGAACTTGGCATTAACATGTAGAAGTAGTACTTTATACTTTAGTCTTCTAAGTAACAAACACAACATATAATTGTAGTTTATCTCATTTTCACTGACCTTAATTTTGCTTGCAGCTCTGATAACTGCCTCTGGTAGTCTTCAAGTTCATCTCTAAAAAAATTAAAATTAGAAAAGAAAAGAAAAAAGGTTGAGATGGCCCCATTAAAGTCGGGCAACCAGTGACAAAGAGCACGATTACAAAATGAAGCAGAAGTTCGTTGTTAAATCAAGCTACACAAACTCATCAGCGATATATCTCATAGAGGTTGTAGCATGCCTAAATTAACAAGAAAGGCCTCTATTAGGTGTGAAAATACACTCTAATGTCTGTCCACTCAGAGATACCCATGAAAAAGAGTTTATTTTTCACTCAGAACAGCTGGATAACTCCCTAACATCCCATGTCAAGGAGAATATTTAATAAGGGATTAACATCATGGTAAGAACAACTGTAACAAACACAAAATTAAAATCAAGATGGTAAGGTGAGAAAGTTGTTACTCAGTTGGAACGCGACATCACCTTGTTGAATAAAGAAGAGACTCCAGATGTCTTGTCTTTGCTTCATGCAGTTTCCGGATTTTCTCCTGTAAATGACAAAGCAGTAAATATACGTTCAATTCTGCAACAGTTTGCTTAATCATAGAAACCAATAACGTAAACTGCACAAAGTGGGTGGGTAATTTGAGGGTAAATTCTATTTCAAAAAGGGAATAAAACTCTTGGAAGCTAATGTGGTATTTAACAAATGGATTATTAACTTGAGATTGCTATCCCCTGATACATATGCAGCTGTAGTTGATGAGGAGCAAGCCTCATCAATATAAGGAAAAGCGTTGCACCAACTGTTGTGGAGCTGAAAAATGCTTCAAATATCCAAATGTTCAGGATTTAATGAAATTTAATAAAGCAATAATTATATTCAGGCTATTTGGATATTAGCCAACTCAATATTATACACCTTACTTGCTATTTACCATCTCATATTCAATGCCTGCTCAAAGAGTAATTGTTTAACATACTGTACCAGTTGTTCAAAACTTATCAACACAAAAGACTCAGATCTTTATTTTACTTTAAGACCACACACTGTTACTAAGAGCACTCCCTTTTTTACTAATTACCACAGAATAGGTAGCACAGCCAATCAGATTGTAGCAATTGGGATAGGTAGCACAGCCAATCAGATTGTTTGGGATAGAATGATGGTAGATTTGTACTAAAAAGTGATAGGGAGCCTAAAAGCTGCGTCCTTAGCATATAATGGAGCAAAAGCTACATTACTGTGAGAGTGCTATGTTTAAAAGCACTTACCACCTCTTCTTCAAGCTGGTTAACAAATTTTCTTTCATTGGCAGACATAAATAACTGTCAAGATGTAAAATAATTATTTCAGTGGTGACATGAACTTAAAAATGGATGTGTGTAAATGGTGTACAATTTAGCAGAACTTGAAATTGTGAAAACAGATTTAATACTGTAAATAACTGCTTGTAAGCTGTATCTTTTTCATAAACAAAGAATACCTTCACAGGAAAAATATAAAATAATGTACAAATTGATTTGAATATATCACCATTAAAATAATTTTCTCCTGTGAACATTGTACAGCAGTAAGTTGAGTTTGACTTTAGGGAATAGCAAGTGGAAGATAAGTAGAAGGTCTGCAATCCTTTCAAGTGCTCTAATTATAAAGTTTACAAAATTTTACAAAAGAGGTAATGAATCCATTGGTGCATGAAAATCATGTTACTATAAAATGCATCATGTACAGTCCAAAAGATTCCATACATGTACTTTTGCAAAAAACATGCAGTTTGGATTGGTCAATCAACAATTTAAATGCTTGACATACTTTCTCCTAACAACATCTTCTCACTGTAAAAATTATATACAGGTTTTATAAAAATAATTTGACCCTCTACATTCTATCATCAGTAAGCATAATCTCAATACTGCTCTCTAAAAATTTACTTAGGTGCCAACAGAGAGAATTTTTTCCACATTCATGAGATTTTATAGTTGGTGATCATTTCCTTTATTCTTGCAAACTTAATGTGTGATTCAAGGTGATATTTTAAGTAAAAATTAGATGCCAGGTTTTTTAGAGTCAGTGTCATTTAATAATAATTGGCACAAAAGTAGTAGAACATTTCTAATGTCTGTGCATACACATGTGCAGGTGATTGGACCATACAAAACTACATCAGAACAATTACCTGGGAATCAAGGTTACTTATTCCAAAGGAAGATTCAAGTGCTGATCTTTGCATGACAGATGGCATCAAGGATCTCCTGGGATCCCTTTCACTTGGTACTACATCATGTAAACCAAGTTCTTTTGTACTCATAGTTTCCCTGTCCATTTTCTTCAAGCCCCTCACTGGCTGTGCTTTGCTGTGTTCATGAAGCACAGTTGGCAAGGTGCCTTGCCCCTGCCTCACCTCATCATCATCCCCATCATCACTGATGGTGCTGTCCTCTGTCTGTGACCTACCCAACCCTTGTTTTGGATCCCCTGATGTGGGGCCCGATGGAAATTGTTCCTAAGCAGAGGGCAATAAATAACATTAAATAAAGTATTGAGTGATCAGTGACAACTGTTCCATATAATTTAGGTGACAAGACATTTAGATTTGATAAGGCATCAAATACATGTAAATTGTAACTAAAAATCATAATGTAACAGATGTCTATGTTCATTGTGAAAGTTATAATAATGAATTAAAATCAATATTTCATTAATATATAGGGTCACTATTATTAAAAGAGTCACACCAATAATTGAAGGTCAAAATATTTTGACAGCTCTTCTTCCTATTCATGCTATGATGAGAGAGCTTTCTGGAAAAATTCATAAAAACCATTTTTAGTGTTGCACACCATGACCCTTAAGCTCAGCCAACTAGACTGCATGTGGAAAGATCAAGGTTCAGCATCTGTGTGACTCATTGTGTTGGGTTCTTGTGCAAGACACTCTTAACTTACAATCCCTCCCTTCGCTCGCACTGGAGAGCTGTCAGGAAACCTGACAAGATGCAGGGGGGAAGTTAGGGGGCAACCTATGGTGGATTAGTATCCCATCTAGGGGTATAGTAACATAATACTTCTACTCACTCCATGCCACAAAGCCAGGGGAAAGCTCCTGAACTTTGTGGGTGCAGAATTAACCTTTTGACCTTTTGGCAAGGTATGCAAAACATTTGCAGTTAGTGTGTCACTTGTTACCTCAGACTTGCTTTGTTCTCCTGTTGATAGCACTTGAGAAATGGCTTGAGTCTTGAGCTGATCAAACAGATTTTCATTTTCTGTAATCACAAGTTCTGCTCTTTGTTTTAGAGACTCCAGGGCATCCTATAATTATGGCAAAGGGAAACAATAAAAAGTCAACTGTGTTGAATGGTTTCAATAATGATTTTTAAGCTTCATATAACTGTGATCATTATACATGAGTAGTTAAGAGCATTTAATTAGTATTCAATAGTGTGTAAAGTTAACAGTCATGATTTCTGCAGGTATTGTATTTATCATGTCAAGTTCAAAGTCTGTCTGGTTTCCAAGCCCTTATCTGTGTAGTGTTCTTAAACTTTAATAAAATCAGAAGTGTCTTTTTTGTAGATTGATGAAAGAGTGCGCAATCAAAAAAGTTATTCAATTCTATTTTCTCGTGATATCATGAATTATAATCCATCAAATATTTTTGCTTGAGCATAATTGGTCAATACGCATCACATTCTCAAATAATCGCCAGCTAAAACTGGGGTATATGCGAGGATAAACCTCCAGTGAAATTCTCTAATTTTCAAACTTTATGTCCACTATGATGAAAGCATTGGTTTAAACTTTAACTTAAAATGGAAGAGCATTTAGCTATCATCACAGAAGAAGGGAAAATTCTTTGTTTTTTCATAGTCTTACCAAAGAATACTGAAAGTAAGCAAACTGTGAGCTGTTCAAAAATATTTTTCCTGCACTTTGTAAAAAATCTTTGTATAGGTAATCACATGATTTCGAGTGCAAAATTAAAGACTAACAAAATTGCATGAGCTCGTAGGGCAAGTGCAATTTGTGGTCTTTGAAAAAATTAACAAGTGCTTGTTTATTCCAAATTGCACGAGAAAAATCGTGTGATTACGTGTTAATAATATACATGGAGAAATACGAGATGGCTTATCATAATTAAATATAAGCAAAGCGTGCGCATCAAGTGCAAAAACCGTGCGTTTGGTCAAAACAACCATGTAGGATCAAAACAATAATAGGCAATGATATCTTCACATCTTTAAGGTGCAAGAAAGTTCAAAGTCCGACTAAACAGTTCAAGGAATAGTTCAGTCTGTGTCCAAAGCACTTTCGATGAAATGGAATCGTCTTTTCCGAGGTTTAACTATAACTGTTTTTAATTTCAGCGTTGGATCGCTCGAGCAAAGTGTTAAGCTGGGTCGGCTTGTAATTTTCAATTTCCTTGGCAATTCCCCTCTCTAAACACCACTTTTTCCAAACTGACAACCAAAAAGCAGTGCTTGTTATAGTGTTTTCGTTGTTTAAGCTGTTTTTCAGCTGCGGTGGCGAAAGAAAACCTACTTAAAACGCTGGCCATTGTTTTGCTCCCAAATTTTCAAATTTTGTTGTGCCATCCAAGGCTCGCATTTGATTGGCTATCTATTAGTTTCTTTGATTATTGACCAATAAGAATGTCTGATTTGTTTCTTTCTTTGCACTGAATTAACCCTCTTCTGCACTGAATTAACTCTCTTCTGCACTGAATTACCTGAAAACTGCATTTATCTTAACCAATCAGAACTGAGTAATTTTTCCATGTCTATTATTAGAAGGATAATAAACACAATAGCCTGGGACTCTTTGCTGTGAAATCTGCACAGATATTTGTCTTAAAGCATTATCTGTCCCCTGAAACTCACAGTTTTCCTAGAACTTCCCTCTCAGAAAACTGGTCACATCTTGGAACAGGTAATGTCTGCAGACAATATCTGTGTATTTTTACACCAAGGAGAGGCTATTGTTTATTTAATATCAAACTTCATGTCTGAGTTATTTGCCTATTGAGCCCATGGCAGTCAACTGAGATCTAGTTTTTGATAATCCATGATATCATGCTCAACCTCATTCAAGAATTGCTTTATGGTACAAAGTACTTAGGCTGCCAAGTCAGTGTTCCATACAACACTTCCATTCTGGACTTTCCCCATAAGAACAATTATACAATTGACTCTTATTAACTTTACATTGATCAAGGTTAAAAGCAGTAACCTCACCTTGTAGAACTCAACTTGGCCCTCAAGGTATTGTAATACAGTGAACTGGTTGTTCAAAAGTTGTGTTACTTCATCTGTGTTGGGCAAATGGCTCCTGTCTGGTACTGCTCCAATCTGTGAATGTTTGAAGGAGATCTAATATTAATTATTTCTAAGCCTTCCTACCTTTTATTTTTTTATTTTTGTTGTTTCATTGGATATTCATTTGTCCACTGGCAAATAGCAAATAATTTTAAAGAATAAACATGAAATTGAATCACTTACTGACTGAGAAGTAGCTGCAGCTCTTGGCTCCAAAATCTGTGAGTCATTGTACTGCTGAAGCAAAGTCTTTAGCCTTGTGACTATAATATGAACATAGCAAAGGAAATTATGGCCACTCCTGAACACAAAAGTTTGATGAAACTTACATGTAGCACACTTCAAAAAGTTATAAAACTCTAAACTTTTGGCCACATATTCCTTGGGGTACCTTCCATAAACAAACTTAAGCAATGCATAACATGTCTTTGTTTCATTCACTTGACTGTAAAAAAACCAGACACTCAAAAGTATTAACAGTGAATCATGAGTATAATTAATGGGTATATACATTGAAACCCCAAAGAGTTGAAAGTGATGAATGAATGAAGCTATCTGTCCTTTCCTAAATTTCCTAAAATTAAAGAATCATCCCAAAAAAAAATTGCAAAAAGAATGTAAAATTAATAATTACATATTAAATACACGTACACATCCCACACAGCTTTGGATTTGATTGCTTCTGGTTCACAGTTGTTACACTTCTCTATTTGTGAGTAGGGACGGCTAGATACGTATTTAAATTGCTAAGTTAAATAAAGTTTGTCGTTGTTGTTTTTGTCATTTAAATGCTTAAATTACAATTGAGTGTCGATATAGGTAATTTTTGTGTTGTTGTTTTAAACAGGGTTGACATACCTGAAACACTGTTGACAGTGAACTTCTTGAGAAAAATCATACAATAACAAAAAACAATACATTGTGACAAGGAGGAAAAGTGTGAGGAAGGAGTGCATGGTGACAATTAAGTTGGATATGAATGTGTGCATACTTCTACACAAAAAATCAACTCAAAGAGAAAGATGTAATTTTTCAATGGAAAGTTGGAACCACTAGATGAGCAGAGACAACACAACAGAAGTTCAGATAGCCATCAATACAGTAAATTATATTACTAGCCGGTGTTTTGAGGAAGTCTTCTGAGGTAATTTTATTCTGTACTAGTGCATTCTGTGCGGCCACCATAACCCACATCCCCAAGAAATCCATAAGTATTCATACACTTTCATCAATACTACCTGCTGAGCTGTAGGAATCGCCTTTATACTTCCTGGAGCCAGGTGATTTAACAGGAGAATTGAACGCATATCTGAGAGGTCCGAGGCTTTGAGATGCTCGCTCTGCAAGAGAGAAAAAACAATATTGATACACATAATATAGGAGCTGTGTAACAAACCTTTGCAAACTCAGCCCTTGGTGATGGTCAGTCTAAACCGACTGAAATATGCAGACCCTCTGTACAGGTAATTGAGATAGACAACTGAGCTTAGTCACAGTCTTCCTGTACACCTTTATTGAGATACATACCTCGAATAACTTTTTGGTAATCTGAAATTGGCTCATCCACATCAAACATTACTTCTCTAAGACCTTTCTGCACCATCAAAAACGATATCTGAGCAAATTTCTACCAAATTTGAACCAAAATACATGTTCCTCATCAAACTAGCGCGACGGTTTCAAACAGGCGCTCAACGAAGAATTGAGCCCGCGATGGATCCTCTCGACCCAGTCTCTTGTCAGAAAGAAGGTTCTCAAGATGGCTTCTTGGATGACGAAACTTCGGTTGCAGTTCAAAGGCATTGGAAACGTTGTTACAGGAGTAATTATCGGTGCTGGCTTGGTAAAGATTTATTACGAGACTTCGGATACTGCAGATGGTAATACTACTACTAAGAAAGAAATCGAGGATATTATAGCTAGACATGATAACCTCAAACGTGGACACCATCTTCGCACAGTTAGTCTTCGAGGAGCATCCAACAAGGGGCTAGAGGTGTACCAAGTAGACAGTTCAAGGTATGAAGTTTTCGACACTGGAGACGAGAAAATGTTCAAATATGGCCTCCCACGGAGGTCATCGGACTATCTGCAATATAAAAATCACGTTTTGTGTTACGATCAAGTGAAGAAGACACCGAGATGGGTACTAGAACATTTGACACGTGAGAAAGTTAAAGGCGAGGCGAATAGGATATACTCGGTTTTTAAACCTGATCCGAACATTCCAGCTATTTTTCAGTCAAATAATGATGACTACTGGGACAGTGGATGGTCAAGAGGGCACATGGCTCCCGCAAGTGAGTACACGTTTAGGACAACTGTATTCTAAGGGTACCCCTGCTATTCAAAGTGAAAAATCTTCTGTCTAACCCAGTTCTTCTTTCCTGATGGGAAATCTCTGTTGAAGGGATCCAGAGAGCCTCTCTATTCCTAAGGGTATCCCACTAACTGCATGTACATGTACAAGATTGTACACATGTGGTTTCACTTTCAATATTGCACGTTTGACTGCTTAACGTAAGAGAATTTTTCAGGTAGGCAAGGTTGTCAAAATGACGACACATCAAACAAAAAATTACAGAATTGCAGAAATATTTAGGTGAGAATGAGGTCTCAACTACATGCGCCAAGAAGGGAATCCTTACATTACAAGGGAAGGGTCTAGTGTGCAGAGTATGGCAGAACTCAATGTGATCTTGCATGTGCAAAGACGATTCTCCAGTGAGGAAAAAATTATGCTTAGCTCAAACATACTCTGCAGTCAAGGGAAAGGATATCATGATATCTTACACTGTGCTCTTTAAGTGCTTGGAGAAGCAATTGAAAATATTGCATCTCCACACTCCGTTTTCTTGAACTAAGCCTGACTTCTCTCTCATGGTCCAATCCCCTCCCCATTTCTTTGCCCCTATCTAACAAATGATGCTTAAGTGGAGATTGGCATCAGGCTAATGTACATGCAAAGAGTAAGCATTTCTTCTCTGGGCTTTCTAATACCCCTGCACTGATACCTTCTTTTCAAAGAGGATAAATGAAAACTTTTTATTTAAACTGTGTAATGGCAGTATCAATTTAAGCAGTTAAAATGGAGCCTGAAATCAATTTAGGATTGAGAGGGATTTCATCTGATAACTGTTTTGCATTAGCAGTGGAGGAACACTTTGTTAAATTAGATACAAGTGTTCTGCTCTAATCTCTCGACTCCTAGGTTGTTTTCTTAGCTAAATTTGTTGGTGCAATATCATTGTTGCAGGGCAGTTATGTTTTAAATTCCTGTTCAAGCCTGAAATTGTTCTCAGGCTCTATTTTTGCTACTGCTTTTAATTGTGTGTCCAATTGCAATTAGTTGAATGAGGTTACTACCCCTGAATTGAACTGCAGAAAAGGCTTAAAAGGAAATTTTAAAGTGAAGATACTCAACTCTTTAACTGCCACAAGTGACGAAGAGAGAATTTCTCCTTATAATATCTAGCAGACAAGTAATGAGAAAAGTGATGAGAATAATGAAAAATATCAAGTAGGGAATTATTAATTGATCCAATACCAAATTCTTCAAACTAACACCACAAGAATTGTATGACAGACAGTAAGGAGAATAACTAATGAGATCTAGGGAATGAAAGGGTTAACAGATAATTATCTTCAATTCTTCGAGGTGACAACAAATATGACCAAGATGCAATGAATGCAACGTTCCTCTTGTCCAACATTGTGCCACAAAATCTGGATAACAATGCTAACTATTGGTACAGACTAGAAGCTTACTGCAGGGGTTTAACAAAAAGATACTCAGATGTGTACATAGTGTCAGGACCACTTTACTTGCCAAAAGAACAGGATGGGAAGAAGATGATGCAATATGAGGTAAAGAGCTCTTCTTCAATGATAGATATTTTATTTCCACTTCCATAAGGTATTCATTTGCATTGGAGAGTAGCCTGCAGTGTAGGTGTGATTTTGTTGAGCATGTGCTCGGTATTTTCTGGGTGAAAATCATCGCCGCCATATTTGATTATTACAGCGGCGGAAGGCTGGGGAGAGGAAGAAATTTGTACCAAGGGGGTGGGTGGACAACGTAAGGAAAGGAGGAGGTGGGGTGGGGTGATTGAAATTCTGGAATTTCCCCTCCTGCTACTTACGCTGTCCATTCTAACTCTAAATCAAACATGACCGACCGGAATAACGATCGCCAGCTTGTAAGTATAGATGGAAAGAAGATACTCTACTTCCTTTTTAAAAACAACGAAAGTGTCAAGAGTATTTCGAGTGACCTGGTATAAACTAAGGCAAAAGGCAAGAAGTTAATCTCCTGCTGTCTGCCGTCTTGGAATTTTAGCATTTTGAAACGGGCGTGAGAATTGCACAGCATATTAAATACTGTTTTATCCTTAATGGATAAGTTTCTGATTTGAATTTCTGCCTGTTTCGAAAATTTATCCTGCTCTGTGCTGTAATGTTATGTTTCTTAAAGACGTACCAATTTTCCTCAGCTTGTTGGGTTTCGTGATAACATCTACTACAAAATCATAACTTTTTTTAATGTTGATCCTTAGGTTATTGGTGCTAATAATGTTGCAGTGCCAACTCATTTATACAAAGTTATTTTGGCCGAAGACGGAAACAAGCAATCAGCTCTAGGAGCTTTCGTCATTCCTAACGAACCGGTGGACTTCGACAAAAAGTTGCCCGAATTTCAAGTTTCTTTAGACGTGTTAGCCCAGTACTCAGGTTTGATATTTTTCCCCGATTTTGAAGCTGAAGAAGCGACTGATCTTTGTTTGACTGATGGCTGTAAGATGATGTCAAAGGAACGCATGGATATGATTGCGTTTGGCCATCGTCTTCGAAACGCGCCGAGTTTAGAATTGTTAGAAAAAGTTTGGCGAGAGTTGAAGGAGACCAAGTTGACACCTGACGCATACACGATAGATGTGTACGAGTCAAGGAAAAGAGAACTGGAGCAACAAGAGAGTGAATCCGAAATAGCGATAATAAAAATAGAAGAACTTAAGGAAAACGAGGTAGAAAGAAAAACATAAAAGGATTAGAAATAAGAAAAAGGGGAATGCAAACTAAAAGTGTTTCCGATTTCCTGTTGCGGAAGCAGAATTGGGACCCGTTTCTATAATGAACCTCAATAACTTTTTGAAACGGAGGCAATACATTAAATTCTATACTTGTGAAAAGGATTAGCGGGTGTTAAGTCAAAAAACCGATCATTTTTGTTTATTCTTCCTGATATTTGCATTCGACTTTCAAGATTGTTTAATATTATATCTCTATGTTGAAAAGAAACATGCCAAAGACAAAAAGCTTTCCGGGTCGTCGGCTCCCGGGCGAGAAACAGGTCCTTTGGCGGAGTTTGAATCATCCCCAGGGAACCTTATTTTTCCATTGTCCCACCGGCATTAAAACAACGTTGACATGTTCCTTTGGTCGAGAGGAACAGGATATTGGTGGTTTTGCATTCGCTATGTTGAAGGGCTAATGCTCGAAACGTCAGCTTTTAAACTCTTTGCGGTGGCCAATTTACGTTATCAAATAAGTTGGTAATAGTAAATTACCCTGTTATACTTTCCCACCGACGCAGCACCACAGTTTCTTTAGAAACTTATTCTCTTTATTACATATTGTTCCTTTGTATTGTTTTAGCTTTCGGCCGGCTATTGATGGTATTTGGGCTACAATCTTTTTTTTCTTTTCGTAAGCTGTTACTTTCGTCTACTTTTCGCTAGACTGTCAGTTGACTATCGGTTGCCATTTTGTAGACTCGGTTTGCTACCAGTGAAAATGCTGGTCAGAAGTAATTGATAGACTTTCGCTAAGCCATCAGCTGTCTTTTGCTTGAACGTCTGAAGTCAGCCGACGGTCGTAAAAGAGTCTTTACAATATTAATGTTCAAAGATTTCATATTTCTTGTAAGCTATGAAAAATGATGATTGCTCGGGAATTGTTAGTATTGACCAGCTGGTTACATCACCGGCTTGCTTGGCGTTTTCGCGATGTCTGACCATGTTAGGAACGAAAGGGAACGGAAGTGTGTAAGTTGGTCGCGTGTTTCTTATGTAACACCCATTTAAGCAAACGCCCATTTAAGGAAATACGACATCGCTTGAGGTTGAAGTGCTCACGTCATACTTCCTTCGCAACCAAATAATTTTGCTCTAAACAAACTCACAGAAACAAAATGGCGGCTTCATGTATCTTCTCTGTTGTCTTTCGCTGGAAACGAGCATAAATCCGTTTCAAGGGGTTAGAATCATTCCAAGTCTTCCGGTGTGGAAGCGAAGGTTTTGCTTAATGAAAATCGCTATCAGAGAGTTAGTACATACTGAAACCGGGAACCCGGAATACGCAGGAACACGGACAGGACGCACGAAAAGCGGGTACTGCATTAAAATTGAGCTCTATTTTTTTTTGCATCGATTTACGTTGTTTATTTTATTTTATTTTTTTTTTCATTTTTGTTATTCTTCGAGTATTTCGCTTATACCGGTATGGCGGTATGTTCCGGTCCTCTGACTACTGTGTTTGGGCGTGTTCTGTAATTCCAGTGTGGTCTGGTATTCCGCGTTTTAGTGCCTTTCGATGGTTTTAGAAAGCATTCGAATCTGTTAAAAAAAAACCCTGCAACCGACTTTTCAGAAGTAGGAGTCAAGCGTGAATGTAAGTTTTCATAA